AATACTGAGAGCTTTAAGACATCACAGAACTTTACACAACCAAGATATTCTGTGGAACATCTACAGAATGTCTGAGGAACATCTACAGAACGTCTGAGGAACATCTACAGAACGTCTGAGGAACATCTACAGAATGTCTGAGGAACATCTAAGGAACAGAAAACAGAGGAACGTCTGAGATGAAGGAACATGTGACTTGTGGTTTATTAGGAATGTTTTTAACTGTATGAATCTAAGCATCTTGTTTTACAGCAGTGTAATTCTGAGCGTTGCATGTTATGTTAAGCACTTTGTAATGTTAGTCTGTGTCATGTGAGGACTGAGTCATGAAGTGAAGGCAGACTGCAGCTGCTTGAAGGCAGCTTGTCGTTCTTTCTTCTCTGTCTGTTGTCTCATTCGCTCTTCTTTTTCCTCTCGAATCTCAGCCTCAAACTTGCTGCTCTGAGACAGCGCCTGCACCTGGTGAGAGAAGGTAACAGCAGTTAGTTCTGGAACATTGGTTACGCATTGTAACCCCAGATTCTATGGGTGTAAGCTCCGCCCTCTAAGGCTATCGCAGATGGGTATCCCTCTGCGCCCCACGCGCATTCTGAAAAACCAATAGTCTACGCCCACGTACCGTGGGGCCCCACCTCCGGGACGCATATAAGGCAGCCGGCCCGGAGCTTGTCTCCCGATAGCTTATTTTTTCTTCAGCTWCGGAAGCCGGTGAGGCCCCGATTCTTAGAGGGCTGTGCTTACACTCATAGAATCTGGGGTTACAATGCGTAACATCAGTTCTATTTCGTGTAAGCTCCGCCCTCTAAGGCTATCGCAGATGGGTATAGAGGCGGAGCCTGATGTAGTCTGTGCCTCACCGGCTTGACAGACTTGTGAAGCTTCCGCCCAAAAAACCCCAGATGTTGCACAAGCAAAAGCCGTGACAACATCTGACCCACACAKTGAACATCTGCGTCAGCCTGAGTCCATCACATGATTCCAATGATATGAAGGAAAAATAAAAGTGATGTGTGTGTAGTGACACTCCAAGCACAGAGTCATAACCTGTCCACCCTATTTGGCAACCTAACAGGTACTCTGACAAGGTCCTGAAAACGGGGTGAGTCAGAGAGGAGCCTGAAACATCCCGCAGATAAAAGCGGATGAAGGGACAAGGAGATGACCAGGACGCAGCAGAGCAAATGCCCTGGACTGATATTCCACTATAAGAGTGGTGGAGGAAGAGATCCCCTTTGTGGAATGAGCTGACAGCGCAGCTGGAGGCTGCAGGCCAGATGAAGTGTAAGCCTGAGAAATAACCTCACAGATCCAATGTGACAGCCTCTGAAGAGACAGAGGTTGTCCTACAAACTGCTCTCTGTAAAGGACAAACAGGCACTGAGAGCGTCTAATCTGAGCCGTGTGCGTCACATAACATGCGAGCGCGCGCACAGGACGCAGCAGGTGGGAGGATGTCTCCTCCTCAGAATTAAGCGGATGGGGGCAAAATCCATCCAGAGTGATGATTCTGGGTCTAAAAGAGCTCGTTAAGCTCTTCGGTGTGAAAAACTGGGTTAGGACGCAGAATCGCAGAACTGCCGTCCTCCCGTATCCTGAGACAGGATGGAGACACCGACAAAGCCGGCAGCTCGCGGACTCTCTTCGCTGATGTTAAGCTAACAGTGCTGTTCTCTGAGACAGAAACTTAAGAGAGATCTGATCCAAAGGCTCAAAAGGAGCTTCAGTCAGGGCGCGTAACACCAGTGTTAAATCCCACTGTGGAGCAAAGGTGCGCATGACAGGTCTGTTACTGCGTGCACCCCTAAGAATCGCTTAACCAGTGGATGGTTAAAAACCGTCCTGTCACCAAAACCCTCGTGACAGGAAGAAATTTCTGCAGCATATGTTCTAACAGTGCTGAAACCAAATCTCTGTCCATTAGCTTCTGTAAGAAGGTCAAGATACAGGACAAGGGGCATGAGACTGGGTCTGCATTTATCTCCATACACCAGCGCTGGAAGGGTGACCACTTCACTGTGTAAGATGAGAACGTGGATGTGGCTTGTGCCCCCTGAGTGGTACGTACCACATCAGCGGATAAACCCAGTTTATTAAACGATCCCGTTCAGCATCCAGACCCACAGGGGCTGACCCAGCCTGGGAAAAAACTCCTGAACACCCCCCCACCGCTTGCAGAATAGCATCCTACTGCCAGACAGCTGAAGCGGCAGGTCTGACAGCAACGACTGGAGGACCAGGGACCAAAGCGCTCCCGTGCGCTTCAGAACTATCAGAACAACCCGCCTCCAGTCCTCTCTGATCCAATCCAGCAGACGTGGGATCAGAGGAACAGGTGGAAAGGCATAAGCAGCATGTCCGGCCACGGACGGTGCACCAATGCGCCCCCTCCAGAGGAGGATCGTCCTGTGAGCTCAGAGAGAAAAAAAGAGCTGCATTGTGCGTTTCTCTGCTGGCAAACAGGTCTACTTCCCCTGCCGAATCTGTCCCAGATTCGCATAATTATGGTCATGTTGCAGGGTCCAGTCCCCGTGCCCGGGGACCCCCCTGGACATGATGTCCACTCCCCTGTTCAGCACACCTGGAACGTAACTCGCTCGGATTGAGAGCAAGTGGAAAGTGGTTGTGTGCTCAGAGGAGAAGCTCTCCGGCTGTGTCCAGCAACGGCTAGGAGTGCACCGCCCCCCCCCCTCCGGTGGATGATGTAAGCCGTTGCCACTCAGCTGTCCGAGTGGACCAGAACATGCTGGTCCTAGACGAGATGAGTGAAAAGCACCATGCATTTTTCACACCGTCAGGAGCTCCAGAGCATTTATGTGGGGAACAGGGTGGAAGACCAGCGGTCTCCCACAGTCTGGGACAGGCATGTCCCCCCCACCCCGACAGTGATGCATCTGTGAAACCGGCACGTGATGAATCGCTCTGCTCAGAGGGACTCCTGCTGACAGTGAGTGTGTGTGCGACATTCTCCAGTGGCTCCAGTGACGTCACGGATTGATCTTCAGCCGTGAGAACCACCGCTGCAGGCGTATCGTGTGAAACAGCCCAAGCGGAACCACCGCATGGGCCGCTGTCATCATGCCCAAGAGAAGCATGATGGTTAGAGTTGTCACTGAGCTGCAGGGCCTGATATGCACTTAGCAATGAAAGCAGGACCCCCCACTTTTTTTTTTTGGTTGGGGACAGATGAGCTGTCATGGTGACTGAGTTCAGATCCATACCCAAATACGTGATGAGTTGGGCCGGAACGAGAGAACTCTTTTCCTGTTCTATGGAGAAGCTCAGCATCCTCAGGTGTGCTGACAGCTTCTCCGTTTGTGACACTGCTTCCGCTGAGTACAGAGGCTGCAGCACCGTCTCCACGCGCCTGGAGAGAAGGTGTGGTGTCAGTGCGTAACCGAAAGGAAGTCAGTTGTACTGGTACCGGGTCTCCTGTTTTCTTGGGGAAAGGAGAAAAACTGGAAGTAAAAAACCCTGAATTCCTCCCCACTGGGAGCCTTAGAAATGAACTTCGTCATTCAGGAGTTCCTGAAGCTGTGCTTGGAGAGCGAGATCCTGCTGAGGAGACAATAGGAGGGTCTTCAGGATCTCGCCGAACCGGGGAGGCGAAGTTGCAAACTGTAGCCTGTAGCCCATATTACCAAGTGCTTCATCCACTTGTCCAAGGGACAAAAGTGTTCCCAGACCGCGCTGTGCACTGAAAGGGCTCACGCATGCACAGGTTGCTGAGCTATTGTTGTAGAACCGATACATTCAGAGCCTAGCCGCCGTCACGCTCTGTCGCGTGAGCTATGGGGGGGCTGTGCTCGAAAGGGCCATGCAGGAGCTCCAGGGAGCCCTGCGTGCTGTCGATGATTTCGACGTGACCCGAGAGGGGCTACCTCCGGGACCGTACATGAGCACGAGTTCAAGCTAGTTCAGCAGAGCCAGACACAGCGCTCATCTTGCCGCTGTGATTGGTGGGTTCATGCTGCAACGGGAGCAAAAACAACGCACCCCTGCTTGTGACGTGGCTCATGTTGACCGTCTTCTCCTACATCCACCGTTCGCCGGCGGGATGAAGAGGGAAGAGTGTGTGCGTTCGACAGCCACCAGGGGCGGAACGAACCACAAAATGTGAAAAACCGGTGGAAGAGGAGAATGTTGTGTGACAGTAATGGTAAAAAGCAAAGGCAGGCTAAGCACAAGACTAGCAGCTTAGTCCTACCCAGAGTGGAGCAAACGTGTGAGACAGACAACGTCCTGAGACCTGACTGAACTGGACACTTGTGAGAGGAATTTGCCCCTTTAAGGGAAGACGATTACTCACAATCATCAAAACACACATTTATCCTGCTTCCAAGCCATGATGCGGGACGCACACATGGCCTAAACGGCGCAGAGATTCAAACTCATGCCGGCTGCTGCGCGAAGGTCCTGTCGCGCCTTGCTCTCCGCTGYTTTTTGAAAAGTTGACGGCCTGGAGAGCAGTGTTGTTGGTTGCAACTCCCGACTGTGCCGCGCGTTGACGGTGCGCCGGACATGAGTTCCATGTCGATATAACGAAATCATAGCACTTACATGTATGAGGCGTATTCTATGGTTACATTTAGAATGCTGAAGCTGAAGAAAAAGAGGTGGACGAGCTCCGGGCCGGCTGCCTTTTATGTGTCCCGGAGGTGGGGCCCCACGGTACGTGGGCGTAGACTATTGGTTTTTCAGAATGCAAGTGGGGAGTGGAGGGATACCTTTCTGCGACAGCCTTAGAAGGCGGAGCTTACATGAAATAGAACTCTCTACCACCTGACCTAAGAAACACCACCTCTCTTCCTGTGTTCAAGACTGCTTTGAAATCACATCTTTTTAGATTAGCGTATCCATCTTAACTTCATTTGTAAACAATGCTCTGTAACTCATGCCTTCTTGTCTCTAACTGTATTTTCACACATTCTTCTATGATGTATCTAATGCTGTAAGTGTCCTTGGGTGTCCTGAAAGGCRCTTTTTAAATAAAATTATTATTATTATTATTATTAAGAGGCTTACAAATTAAATTAAATGTGTCTCACAAAGCCTGTAGAGCTCATTTAAGGCTTGGCTATAGTCGCACTTTGGGTAGTCGCAGACTGCGCTCGCGCACCCTCGCCAGCAGCAAAGCTGTTTATACTTGGCGCTTACGTTGTTGTAGGTTTCTCCAAAAGGACACGTGGAAGAGCACTTTATAACTTGTGAAATGTTGTAAATAGGAGAGCAAAAGCATGACGAACAAACATGCTGTTTGAATGACGCGCGGCACGCACAGCCTTTGCGGAGTTTCAAAATTTCGGAGGTATTTAAAAATAAATAAAATATATACAGTATGTGGTGAGATGGTGTTGCACCATCACCACTGTGTCCACCAGGTGTTGCTCAGAGCACAGCACTGATTAATGGGCATGGCAGGTGCCATTTCTGACGTGGTGGTTTTGTTGGTTTTCAAGTGTTA